ATTGCAGAGTCAAGATGTGCATTGCTGATAAACTCATACCCAAAAAGACTGAGTGCTGTAATAAAATCAAAAGGTGCTTCAACAAAATATTAGTTTAAGGGTGTGCACACTAATGCAACCACATTATTTTAGTTTTTTATTTTTACTTCCCACTGAAAAACAGATTTCAGTTTGTTTTCAATTGAGTTGTACAAGTTATAGGTCACATTAAAGGTGGCTAAAGTTCTGGAATTATTTATCTTGGTCTCGTTTTTTTACATCACAGAAACCTGGCATTTTAACAGGGGTGTGTAGACTTTTTATATCCACTGTAAATAAGTGCTGGCTTAGATATTCACAAAGTTTTTAAAAAAAAGTATAGGGATTTCTTTATGTCTCATCCATATCTGTGAAGAAGTACGAGCAAGGGTGTGGAAACGTATTTTCAGTAGGGGGGGCTGCCTGGCACATGTGTGCACACAAGTGTTTTGAATAAAATTTTTATGGAAATGTATATTGCCTTACATAAAATGAAAGTACAGTCAAAGTTCTGTTTAGATTTTTGCATGCTATTCTATATGTTTTCTAAAATTATTTAACTGGGTTTGGTTTGTATTAACATAACGTTCCCACTTGAACATTATCCTGATTTTAACCCACAGTCTCATTCACAACATCTAGCTCGTCAGAGCCAAGCAAACTCTATTATTAGTATCTAAATAACTCATGGTTTGCAAGTGAAGGCTTGAAAGCATCATCATCCTCAGTTCCTGTCAGCCCAGTGGTCCAAACATGGGCAGAAGCAGCAGCCTGTTGACTCCCAGACACCCCGCTGTGGCTCACTCTCACAGTGACTGGCTCTGCTGCTGTTGTGGTGGTGCTTGCCAAATAGCGGTTGAGGTAGAAATAATTCACTTTGCAGTTATTGGTTAATGCAGTTTAGAGAGGAAAAGGGAGCGCTTTGTTTGATGCAAGGGATCTCTGTGCTAATGCAAACACAGCAGAATTTTTGTAACATAAGACTAAGATCACACAGGGATCTAAATCATGCTCACAGAAACGATTTATTGTGCAGCTCTATAACCCCATGGTGTGTTTTTTTTTTTCTTTTTTTTTTTTTTTCTCTTTCTTCTTCCCCATGAACATCACGCACTGTTATTGTACTGACGTGACTACAGCACTAGCAGGTTCACATCTGATGTCTAATAGAATGTAGCAAAGTGACTGCAAGAAACTGTAGATACAGCAGGGAAACTTGGAGGATGAAGGGTTATTGCATGTGTTTTGTTTTGTGGTGTTCAGTTATTTATCTGTTTACATGTATGGCGTGCTGCAGCATTGATAGTAAACAGTTTCATAGTCTCTGATTCATGTTTATAGGAATGCCTCCTATGATGCCAGGCATCCCTCCCATGATGCACGGTATGCCTCCTGCTATGCATGGGATGCCACCAGGGTAAGAACTATGGGTTCCTTAATTATGGGTTTAGTAATAGCTTTTCACATCCAGTGCTGTTTTCTGTTTTTAAATTTGATGTTTGTTTTTGTATTACTAATCATATGCTTATAAAACAAGTTTGAGTTTTGGGGTATAACTGAGATGCTATTATACTGTAGTGAAATACACAGTTATGTGGCCTTTTTGGCTTTTGTAGGATGATGCCAATGGGAGGGATGATGCCTCCCATGATGCCAGGAATGCGTATTCCGCCAGGTCATTGTTGGTTATATTTTAGAAGTAATTTTTTTTAAACCATTACAAGTTTTTCAGGGAATCTTAGGCCACTTCCTTTTCAACAAAATAGTCAGTTTGGTTACTCAACTAAAACTTGATGTACAGGTATTAAATGTCACTCTTTTTATTTGATTATTATTTTTTTTAACTGATTGTGGCCTAAAGTATAGCTTTACACTTTTGGTACAGCAGATGTAGCTAAGCATGTTAATGTACAATGTGTATGAAGTTTTAAAAACAATGAGATAAAGCAGTTTAAAAATAGTTGTATTAAATGAAGGAGTTCATACTGACACAGTTAAGAATTGAAAGCCAGTCTTGCCTCCTTATTTACTAATTTTGTTTGCATTGTTTCACTATTGTAGATTTCGCTATATATGTTTTAAATGTTATCATGGAAGAATGTTAATGGGATGTGTCTGCTTGTATCCTCAGCAATGCCACCTCACATGGCTCCAAGGCCAGGTATGCCTCACATGGCCCCGGCCCCTGCAGCAGGGGCGATACCCAGTCGACCGTCAGCACCAGCAGCACAGCCTGCTGTCACCAAGCCTCTATTTCCCAGTGCAGCACAGGTGTGCTCTATGCACCCCCTCACAACACTCAGACCTTTCAGCTTGTACAGTTTAAAAGTGCCTGTTAATCCGTTCTCCCTTCAGGATAGACCATTGCCAACTTATTATATAGTTGTATAAATGTATGTTTTTAAAGAAACAGCATATTACATGATTTTTTTCAACTATTCTAATTTCTAAAGTTTCATTTCCTCTTTTTCTATGTGATTGTTTCCTCTTTTTTTCTGTTTCTCTTTCTCACTTCATTTTTCAAGTCAGTGTCATTATTCTGTCGAATATGGTTAGATTATTTGGACATGTTACATGCCAATGCTGTGATCTCCTTTCCACCATGCTGCAGATGGGCTCTGGTGTTCACAGCAGCACAGCAGCCATTTCCTCTCCACCTGCAGACCTTCAGTCTGCCTCCTCCCAGCCTCCCTTTCCTAACACGCCACAAGTACGCTCACAGACAGGACTTTGACTTGGACTGTGGCAGCTGCATGTTGCTTATTCATTAACTTGGCTAGTAAAATCTAAAGTTGGAGATCAGGCTGATTACTAACAGTGTTTACCTTGTAAATTTACTTGTGCATCAAACACAGCACGTTGGCCATATTGTTGGTGTCAGAGGGTAATCATCTCTGACAGGAACTGGTGTTTGTATTTATTTCATCCGTCAGTTTTAATATGATGCATGTGCTTTTTTTTTTTGTGTTTTTGGTTTTACTTCCACTATCTGAATTCTTGGCTGAGGTGAAACAGTTGATTAGGATTTGTTTCATCTAATTATTATTTTTTTTTCTTCGGATCACCAGATTGAAAGTAAATGGTGAATGTGCAAGATTTATTGCTCAAATTGAAAAGACTTGTGAACCTGGGATAATGTAACTGACAAGTCAAATTGGTACATATGTAATTTCTACTTTTAATGTGGAATTCTAATTGTATTTCACTAGAATCAGTGACAATATGAATAAAAGGCAACGTTAAGTCTTGATAAAAGCAAACTTTAAGTTGAATATTAGCATTACCTAGTGATTGTCTCAAAGGTATAATCTGTTGACATTTATTTTAAGATTTATTTTGTTTATTTGTTTGTTTGTTTTTTTGCATTTTGAAAAGCTGAGAAGTCAGCGGTTTTGATGTATTTTCCCAGTCAGTTATGTGTACTGTGTCTTTTTACAGGCTCAGCAGAGTGCTTCAGCAGCTGCAGCTTCAAGCAGTACAGCCGCCTCCTCTGACCCACCCAAAGCCACATTCCCTGCCTACACCCAACCCTCTGTCTCCTCTTCCTCTTCCACTTCTTCTAACCCCTCTAGCAGCACTGTGGCCAAACCCCCGGCCACAGTGACCAGTAAGCCTGCCACTCTCACCACCACGAGTGCAACTAGTAAGTTGATCCACCCTGATGAGGATATCTCACTGGTAAGTTGCTTGAGCTTCCTATTTTGCCCTTTTCACAGTAAGTAATGACTGATACATATAATGGAACATTTATTGATAGAAATACTGTAATACTTTTCATCACGAAATTTGATAATTATGGAATATCCGCCAAATGGTTGCAGGATTTAGATTGTATATTCTTACTACGTAGTTTCTGTTTTGTGGTTATGTTGAAGGATGAGTCTGACCTTAAATATCCTGAGTCTGAAATCAGGGCCCACCAACATTGGTACCCCATTCCCGATTATTTTTGCAAGCATCTGTACTGTAAGGGGCATACCAGTATTTCTTAGTCTGAATGTTTCCTTCATGTGTTCTTCCTGCCAACAGGAGGAGATGAAAGCTCAGTTACCTCGTTACCAGCGTCTTATACCCAGGCCGGGTCAGGCCCATGCGGCTGCTTCTCCAGTGGCCACTGTGGGCAGCATAATTCCCCCACAGCAAGGCATGCCACCACAGCAGCCTGGCATGAGGCATCCCATGCATGGTAAGAAAATGCTTATTAGGGAATCAGTCTGTGCAAAATACTAGGGGTATGATGAGATTTCATGCCATGACATCGTGCAGTATTAAAACTTGACAATATTTCTTGTTGATGCAAAAGCTGCCTTGGGGTATCGGTACATAACAGAACCAGAGTTTTATGGTGTTTACATATTGTTGTCTTTTACTGCATATCATCATTCATACTCAAAGTGGAACTGAGGTGACATTCATTACAAGATTAAAATATTTCAAAATGCACCTGCAGTGTTTTGCGATTTTCACTTTAAGACTTTCTCAGTCATATATTTTGTCATTGAAAATTTCTTTAAAGTAGTGTTAAAATATCTTGTCTAGTTCTCATGAACCCAATATAGTGTATTATCATACCCCTAGAAAATATCCTTTAACACAATAGTGTTTCTGGTGGAGAGTTAAATGAGAAGATCAATACAACTTAACATGCTATCCACATAAGTTAACATCATATTTACTGTCATTATTATTACACTTTTAATTGATTTTGGTCTTTGTCTGCAGTGTTCTTTGTAATATTTGCATTTTCCAGGGAAAATCCAGTAATTTTGTAATCTAGGAAAAAAAAAAAGTCATGTGCATGGATAGATTGGTGTGTGTGTGTGTGTGTGTGTGTCTTGGATTCATTTTTTGGATATGTCAACAGGGCCCTGTTATGTGTTAGGTCTTTTTCTTCACTTAATTTAAACACAGACCACATTGAAATTATTTTACATTAGCTTCATTTTAGGTGACATCCACAGCTGAATCTAAATTAACTATGATTTTAACACATTGTGGTCCCACTGTGTCCCCTCTGTAGGTCAGTATGGTGCTCCTCCTCAGGGCATGCCAAGCTACATGCCTGGAGGGATGCCTCCATATGGGCAGGGTCCTCCTATGGTGCCCCCTTACCAGGGAGGTCCTCCCATGGGCATGAGGCCGCCTGTCATGTCTCCGGCTGGACGCTACTGAAGCAGCAAAGCAGCCACCACATTAGGTTTGAGGTTAACACCTTTCTCTCATCTTTGTGCTTTTTCAAACATAGCTGCAAGCAAAGAGCAGATAAGACCAGTGGTGGTGAAGACAAACATTATTTGTTAGAACACATGGACGTTTAATGTAACATCTTTATTTGAAAACAGCCAAGCACCACATAGGTTCCTGACAGTTATATTGTTGTTTTGATTACATGTGAGGATATATATATTTTTCCCATAGGTCCTACTCAGGTTTATAGAAGTGAAGTGTGTTAAAATGATTCATGTTTCTTTTGAAGCTGCTGGAGTTACATGAGTGTACCAACATCTTAAAAAGGCAAGTTTCTCTTGTAAACATAATTAAGTTTTGTTTATTGCTTTGGTAGAGTGATTGAGGCCCTCACAGCATGTTTAGGTGCTGTTGGACTTGCGTCCCCAACCTTGGTTGGTGAGGGTCTCAGTAATGATTCCAACTAAGTAGTGTTAGAAATCCATGACTCGTCAATCTCTAGCTTTATTCTTATTTCAGGTTTGTTTTGAATATCTCCTGGTCTAAAGGGTACCTGTATGCATCCTTTGTAATGTTTTATGAATCTGTTGTAATAAAATCCATCTTGAAATCCAATGCTGGTTTGTCCTGACGTACGTGGAGGTGAGTCATGAAGGTTTGTACTGATACTGTATTTCTGGACTTCTTATGGCTCTGTTTATCTGCAGGATTCATTGGGTATTTAAACACCAAGTTTGCCATCATCTGTTTTTTTCAGCTTGCATTGTCTTAATGAATGGCTGGATGTACAAAAATACAGAAACATTACAGCTTTACCATGCTCAAATCTTGTGTACCGCTAGCCCAAAACTAAGATGTTGGCCAACTTCTGGTTTCAAATGCTGCATGTTACCCATGATATGATGCATTAACAAACTACTTATTGGTTTATGATATTTATAGCGTAGTACACTCACACAACAGTATACAAAAAACAAAATTTCATTCCTGATTCATAATCTTTTTGTTGGGTCTCTACAGACACGCCACTATATAAAAATGCATGAATGCTTAATGTTCCTGTTTCCCATATCTCATAGTCATGCCCCCATAATGCACCACAGGGGATAAGCAAAACAACAAACCAACAATACAGTAGCTCTGTTTTAAATTCCAATTGTGTGAAGCTTAGCTTTTAAGGCTTTACGTTAAAATGCAAGGTTGGTGATTTTATTTTTAGACTTTGCCATATTGGGTTTGCAACTGATGGATCAGCAATTCAATCCCCGAGTTCATCTCGTGGTGCTTGTCAGAAGCAGAAAGGAATGATAAATGGCTCTTTACCTGTGTAGTTAGCATTTACAGTAGCAGATCACTGATTGACAGGTGTGCCCATCCTAGCTAGTCTACAAAGTAAGAATTTCAAAATGTAGTGATGTAATTTGAATGGAACAATGAGACCACCACCACCGAGATACAGAACAGTGTATTACTAAAGTGTACTTACTTACTGTTAGTAATTTGTAATGGTAAAGCTACACCTGTGACGGTACCTAGAAAATCTGCTTCACTAGATTGGGTTTTTACCACACTGCTACTTTGTATTGCTGGGTAGTTTAGTTTTGCCTTTTTCTCATTTCTCTTCTAAATGTTTCACGCAACCATCTGTCCATGTCATCTGCAGTGGTCCTAGATTGCTGTACAGTCTCAGAGAATAAACCTGAGTGTTTGTGGAAAAGATGCAGACAGCAGTTGTACAAATTGAAGTCTTTGTGCGCACACAATGGATCTAATAAAATGGTGGTGCAAAGAGTAATTATAGGTATTTGGTGTGGCACAAATTTTTCCTTTGCCTAGATCACTTACTACTTTGTATTTGTTTTTGTTGTCTGTAGCCCCTCCATATCAGCTTTTCAGCCTTAAAACGCACTCATCTGGCATGACAGGTCAGTTAAACCCAGTAAGTACCTGATGTTTATTATAGTGTGGGTTTGTCCTGTTCAACTGGATGTTAGGTTTTGTATTATATATTGTTTAAATTATGTTCCTTACATTTACAAGGTAATTGAAGCTTTGCACATACTGTAGGTATTGTGTTAAAGAGAAACCATAAGTGTTCATTCCATGAAAGTCATCACATGGGTCAAAGACTTCAACATTAACATGTAATTGTTGAATTTTTAATGTCTTGTCTGAACATGGTAAGTAGTCAGCAGTGGGTTTAAAGGCGTTACATGTTTGGGGTTCTTTATGTAAAAGTGTTAGCTCATCCTTATGAGAAAAACAACCACATCACAAACCTAAAGAAATATTTTACATAAAAGGAGGATAAAGCATAACTCTCTCTTTCCAATGCTTATAATTGTTTCTTCAGATTAATAGTGGCACTTTTTTTTTTTTTTATTAATATGTTCTTCTGATCCCAAATCGGGAACCACTGCAGTTTTTGTTTTATTTGCCAAGGTTTTAAGATTTTCTCTTTATCCCAGTAAAACTGAAGCTCTCAGGAGTTAAAAAATTTTACTTCCCAAAAAGTGTGTTATTGGCCTAAATAATCCACTAAAATCACAGTGGACCAATTTCTTGGGGCCATATTTCTTTTGTCTTTTTTGACATTTTCAGTGAAAAGGATTCCATGCGGTAAACATCACAAATATTCATTACCTTGTGTAACTTCAGACATGGGAGAAGGAGCAAAAAACCACTGGACAAATGAAACCAAAACTATCAGTATCGCTGGACACTACTAGAGAAAGTAAACTGGTTTTGTGAATGTATTTTTGAAGAAGAAATGCCATCATGTTGGAAGAAACATTCACTCAAGTATTAAAAGCAAAGCAGTCAGTATGCAACTTAATCAGTTTTTACCAAGTATATACAGGAAAAAAAAAAGTTTAAATGTATTTGCAATTAAACTTTTTTTTCTGATGCTTTTGTCTTTTCAAGAAAACTTTTCTTGATGTATTTTATTTAATATTCACATGAATATTATAAAAACAATTGTAGCTTGACATTTAAATGAAAATGTGACATTGCAATGTCAGGTTTATGTTAAATAAACAATTACATTATTGTGCTGTCACTTTGTTTTTATTTCTGTCAGTGAACAACTGAAGTGAGCTCTGCCGACGCCGCCTAGTGGCACAGGTTGGATGATGCCACTTGAATGCAGGGAAATAGTGGAATAATAGACATCACAGTCTGATATATGCTAATGTTTAAAGTATATACTTGATTCTGTGAGGACAGAATATCACTATGATTGAGTAGCCTATTGCATCAGAGTAAATGCAGTATAATGTTGATTTAGTATTTCAGTTTTCAATATTGGCCCTTCAGCTATATGTCACATGAGCTTTATGTTTTGAAGTGAAATTAATACATTACTAGGAACATCAGCCATTAGATGGTATAAGCTTTACAGACTGTACAATTTCACTTTGATTTAATTCCACTGAAATCTCTTCATATTTTTTTGCTTTAATACTTTTAAATGCACAAAGCACTATTAACCAAAGCTTTATTAACACACTGGCAAACTGAAGTTCAGCTGATCAAGACAAATGATTAAATGGATTATAAAGAGAAGACCGTTGAGTTGGGGGTGTGCTGAAAACAGCAAACACCTGTTACACCATTTGAATTACAGTTTCCTGCTGGGCAACTAGAACAATAAGTGAAATGCTGAGCTGTGTGTCACGTGGGGCTGATAGAGACCAACATTGTACACTGATACAAGTTAGTCAAACCACAGAGGAAGCTGTTTGTTCAGAGATAAAATTTAAAAAGACATGTACTATATGTGCGATGACCTAGTAAAAAAACTCAACTCCTGTGTTTAAAGATGAATAAAGGAAATGTATGTTTCTGCAGGTTTGCACCCTCCTGTGTGGGTTGCTTAATTTTGTAACCTTTTTCTGTTTCCTATTTTTGATACAGCATTTAAGTTGTGATGCATCAGTCATTGTTAATAATTTTATGCATCCTGTTTTTTTCCCATTCATGTCTTTATTTGTTGTTCAAAGCCAAGTCAGAATAAGCCTTAAAACAAAGTCTTATTGCTGACCCTTAAAATGTAAAGAATGTTTTCCTTTCAAAACTGTAAACGGATGGGATAACATTTCAAGTTTACCTCAAAACATGGCTCAACACGTGGGCCTAATAGTCGAATAATGGAGCAGTGGTGGTTTATTTATTTTATATCCACATCTTAGGGCAGACAAACCTCTTGGGCAGGCTTTCTTTATTTTGACCACCTGTCTGTATCATGAAAAAGCCGACATCTTGTTCAGACCAGCAGAGAGTATAATTTCCTCAGGAATATGCAAAACTATATTTCTTAAGCACGTAAGACACAATTAACGCAAATTTAATGGAAACCTCTTGAGCGGAGGTGGCTTAGCTGGGACTGCCAGGTATAGCCCAATTCTAAGCACAAAAGCTGGATCTTCAGGGAAGTATAGGTTGGTTCCTACTGTGATCGTGGTCATAAGTCTGCTGAGCTCTCTGTGTGTGCTGTGTTGCATGGTGACATTTATAACTATGCCTAACCACCATGCTGTCTTACAAGAAGTTGATCCATATGTGGTGTCAGTTAGTGTGTCTGCTTCCTCTTGTGTGTGCCTTGAGGTTTGAAGGTGGAGCTTCATGGAGTTGTTGGTTTCATTTACCGTTAACCAAACTTTTGACATCCAGTCTTGAGTAGCTGCATTTGTGCTGTAATGGTTACCTCACTGCCATTCCTTGAAATCTTAATTAGTGTGTGGCAGTGTTGAAGATGCCTGGGATGTGGTACCTGGCTTTTTTGTGGACTCTGTTCATCATACTGGCTGGGCCTGGTGAGTTCTGTTGCTGAGGCTGATGTCTGGTCTCATCTGCTTTGTTCTTTCAGTGTGAATTGTACTAAGAGCTGGGAGAAGTCATTCGGAGTCAGTTTCTTAAATAGGGCAGACAAAACAACAGCAACATTACAATATAATGCAGAAATCTTTGAGCCATCAGATGATTCTAAGACAGTTTGTAGTGGTATTATGTTGGATTGCACGCTGAGGTGTTGCTGTCTATCTCTCATTGTCTGGACGGTTGAAAGATTTCTAAGCAGTGATGGGGGGTGCACATGTATTTGTTGCTTTCTATTGTCATTCATTTTGTAAAATGTTTCTGAAATGGCAACAACTGCGATGTGGCTGTTGAAACTTACATTAATTTAAATTCAGTTTTATCTGTATATCACCAAATCACAACAAAAGTCATCTCAGAACAATTTACAGAGTCAGGTCTAGACTTTACTATTGTTATTATTATTATAGAGGAAAACCCCAACGAATCTCCCTTGAACAAGCACTTGGTGACAGTGGGGAGGGAAAGCTCCCTTTATCGGAAGAAACCTCCGACAGACCCCTTTTAGTGGGTGGCCCGCTTAAAGTATTCAATGACTTTTTCAACAGACTGAAAATTGAATATATTCTAACACGTTTCATTTTGTTTTTGTCAAGTATGCAGTCACGTTCAGTTCTTAGAGAGGCATGAGGGAGAGTCTGTGGTTCTTCCCTGTATGATCGAGCACAGGAACACTTCACCCTTTGGTGTCTACCTGAAGCGCAGCTGGCTGCATCCCAGTGAAGTGCTGTTCATGTACACCAAGAGCGAGTTCAGTGTGACCAACGTTGAAGACAAGATCCGCACCAGTGTCACCGGGGACCCAAGCAGCCACTCTTTGAATGTGACCATCTCTCAGCTGAGGATCAGTGACACGGACCGCTACTACTGTGAGTTTGTTGTGAACAACCCTTCTTCTGAAGACGAACGAATACCTGGAAAGACTGAATTCTTCGTTCTTGTTACTGCTGGTGAGTCGGGGTTTTTTTCTCATTTCACCCCACAAATTTTACTTGACACCCACTGAAGGTTAAACTTGACATTTGGAGGTCTGGTGTCATTGCCTGCTCAGCATTAAGTAACACTATATGAAAAGGAGTACTTTGTAAAGAGATGTAAATGCATTTTTAAATGATAACTTGGTAATAAGTGAGGTTTCATCCAGATGACCTGCAGCCAGAGGGGAAGTGGCTGAATCGAACATTAGGGGCATCTTTCTGATGAATTAAAAAGGTAACTGAAGGAACCATATACACTAGCTAGGTATCTTTATTATTATTATTATTTGTCAGTTATTTTTTATTTTAACAATGCCCAGTTATCAGAATAGATGTGAAAATACAACCTTCTTCACCACCAGATACAAGTAGAACTACAAGCAAGCAAGCAAAGTTTATTTATATAGCACCTTTCTAAACCTGCGTTACAAGGTGCTTTCCAGTAAAACATAAAAAAAAAAATAATAAAGATACCTAAGACCAGATAAAACACATCTATACAGTAAAATAACAAGAAAAATACAAACAAGAAAAATACAACTCAATTGACTTTTAACTTTTAAAAAGAGCAGCCATTTGTCCAAGAGAAGAGCAGACGGTTCTTTTTAGAGGCATAATATGCTTTCAATGGTAGATGGTGATTGTTTCACTTTTACATAATATGAATTTATATTTTAAGATGCGCTGTAGCTCCTGTCCAAGAAAGTGTGTCAGTTTGTCCATTGATTTGAAAAGTTTTATTCTGTGACTTTTATACATGTTCAGTAAAGCCACTACCTTAAATACTTTACATAATAAATTGAGAACTCCTCTTAATAACGTAATGGATTGTAACCCCCCAGATATTTTAACTGTCAAAATGACATGCGCTTAGGAGATTTTCTAGAAGTGACAGTGACCTGAGATGTTTTGAAAGAGCTCAGGAAACATCCTGACTGCTACAGGCTACTCCAAATGATCTCACTGTTAAGACAGAGTGCAGTGGTGCGCCAGTGCATTACATCAGTGTTTTTTCCCTTTCCCTTTTGGAGATGCCCCCGGGTCGGCGGACATAAATTTGCTAAAGACATGTGCTGGGGGCTCAGCTGTGCTCCCGTGTGTCCCCCCACATGGGGAAGTCTTGGCTGTGGAGGGGGTGAGTCTGAAGCGGCAGAGGGGCCGGGCGCCTGTGGAGTTGTTGTACCACTCAAAGTTTCATCATAGCGGCAGCTCTCCTTCCTCCTCCTATTTCCCTGTTGAAAGGGTCCAGCTGTCCTTGGTGCCCAGCCCTAGTGGCATCACCTACAACCTCACCCTGCAGCAACTGCAGCCAGATGACACCGCCCTGTATAGCTGCCAGCTGCACATACATGGCAGGTCCGACAGCACCACCAGTCTAGGGAGACGAGTGTTCTTTGTTTCTGTGCAAGGTGGGTCACCTCACAGCAGGACTTGATCACTGAGCCACTTATACTAACTTAAAATGTAAAAACACCTTTTTTGCTTAGTGAAAATGCTAGTTATTTTTATACTGACTTGTTGCACGCCTCTGCTTCCTTCCTTTTGTTTGTGGTGTTCAGTCAGTTGATTCAAGTATTATACTAACATTCTTTTAAACGCATAAAAAGGTTTCACATCCGTGCTTGTATGTCTGTGTGCATACACAACTGATAACACCAGACAGTAATGCATATTGATAAATGGATGACATTAAATGTTTTCATTCAAACTTTATGTCTAAGTAATATGAATAATCAATCAGTTTGTCAGTCAGTCGATCTGGACATATTGATCCGATAATCAAAATCCTATAAAGTGGTGGCGTGTGAGGGGTTGTGTTGTGGATGTGGTATGGGAATGACTGTGGGGTGCAGGTATGCTGCTGCTGAATTCATGTAATAATATAATTATAGGCTTTAAAATATTTTAATTAGACTAATAACACCGTTTTATAAGCAAAGGGGAAAACCCAAGTGCTTTCCCACTGCAACTGGCATGTCTAGCAAAGTTAGGGAGTCCCATAGACCAGTAATTCACAGTCACAAAATAGCAAACTGGAATCATAACTGTCTTGTGATGCTGCTGCAGTACATCAAATATGTTTCAATCCACAGCTGAAAACAGCTCCCGAACAAATGCACAATTTACTCCTGCTTGAGAAATGTGGCTAAAGCTGCAGACCAGCTATTTCTAATGAAATTATTTTGCCTTTTTAAAAAATATAACTCCATATATTGTGTCCTGTTTTTGAAGATCGATCTTCATTTACAGCAAGAAAGTCAAAAGAAATTGAAAGATTGTTTTTTTTAATGGGATTTGCATTTGTTGACAATAAGCAAAATATAGAATATCACAACTTTGTAGTTTAAAATATTGAGATATATCATTTAAGTTGTTGGCGAATAGATTATTGAAATGCTACAGAGTCTTGTGTTCTTGCTTTAAAAACCACCTCAAGTTCACTGAGCAAATCACACTGATATCACCTCCAGACAACAGCAACACTGCTGTACCCTTTAGCCTAGAACTAGGAAGGAAGTTCAGCTCAGTGGTTTTTGATATGAGAGAAAACACATCACATTTGAGCTAACCACTAACTGTTATGTCCTGTCTTTAGTGTCAGATGTTGTTTACACATTTGGTGATACCCTACTGATTGATTAAGTGTATGATTAAGCTGGATGGTTCCTCAGGGGCTGGTGTTAAGTCAAGTTTCTCATCTTCAACATCTCTCTCCCTCTCTGCTTCTTCACAGGCAACGAGTGCAGCTGTTCCGCCTACTCCATCCTGCTGTATGCTTTGTCCTCAACTGTGGTTGTTCTCCTCCTCATCCTCATTGGAGCTGCGGTGATTTATCAAGTGAGCGAACTTGTAGCTTAGAATGTGCTGCTCTAACACTATACAAGAATAAGGAATGAAATGTAACTGTTGTGTTATTAAGACAAACAGCACCTGCCTGTTGAGAATGTGCTAGGGTTCCTCTGCAGCTCACCACAAAACCACACTAGTTTCCACACTAGTTTCATAACTTGTTGCTGTCACTTGTCAGCATATTTCTCCTCACCAAGGAAGACAATGAAACCCCAGTTCTACTTTTAGTTTTAAGATTTTGTTTTAGGAGCACTACACTATAATTTTGTTATTTTCATGTGCCAGTAAAATACACGATAGTGAGAATGAGGCTTGGTTCAAATGTCCTATTAAGATTGGGCTCAGCCTCAAGAGAAAATGACAAGCTCTGATTTTAACACAGGAAATCAAGAGTGTGTTCAATCTGTTAGCTCCTTTCACTGATTTGTTTTCCTCCTGTCTCAATGACTGTCAGAGCAAAGCACGCCACCGTGTCAGCTCACGCCCTCAGCCACCTGTCTACGAGGAGATGACTGGGCTGCAGTCTGTAGGCCGAAAACTGTCTCCATGCCATCTGGAGGAAATGGAGTCTTCTGAGTACAGAAACTGCTTTGTGAAGAAATCTTCTGAAAACTATTACGAAAGCCCGAGCGGGGCCCTCTGCCCCAGATCTGCGTCTCAGAAATGAAGCAGTATTCAACCTTCTCACCAGCATCATGAAATTACCAAATCAGCTGTTTGACACTCACTCGACTCCACTTAGTATTAGCAGTTTCATCAAACATTTTCTCCTCATGTCTTTTTGTCATGTATATTGGACTGTTGCTAGTTTGAAAGAGGGTATTTTGCCATCATGAAATTTCATATCACAATGTTGATATATTGTATATGGTGATGTAATACATTTTCTAGAAAACTAAGTGAGAAGGAGAAAATGTTATTAGAAAATAAAAAGAAAAGAACATCTGTTTTTGGCCGTTTCAGCAAATTAAAGGTGCCTTCTGTGGTTTCTATTTACTGATTCTCACCAAAATGCCCCAGGTGTCTCCTTGAAGTCCAGCAGATATGTTGAATGCTGACCATTCCTCACAAAATATATGCAATGCATTTTTTGGAAGAATTTCAAACCAACATTATGCACATCGCTGTTTGCTTGCTGCCAGTCTTCTTCACATACATGTACACTGCTGTTATCACCCACCTCTATTGTACAGTATTCAGTTTTGCCTTCACTATTGCATTTGTGTTCTGAATATGGAGGCTCAAAAGGGACACAGAGAAATAAATGACTGTGATTAATTAAAAATAAATTTAAAAAAATGACCAAATAAGAATATGCATTTTCCCACTTTTCTTTTACATTTATTCATTTCCACATTCATTTTTGTCTGTATTTTCCCCATGTTTGATTTGGAGTAGGAAGAAGTCAGACTTATCCAGTCCTACCCCATGACATCATCTTACATCATTGGTTTGCAAGCAGTATCTCTACATAGATAATTCTCTTCTACACCACACAAGTAATATACTAAAGAATTATAACAGAGTGTTAACATTCATACACCACACCCACAATGTTCCATCTAATTAATCATTAAGCCTGTTCTTGCATATATCTTGATTGACACATACCTTTATATTTATGTTTAAACTCGTCAATTCTATTACTATTTTTTATGTCCACACTTAAATTATTCCATAGTTTTACCCCACTTATGGAAATACAAAATCTTTTTTTGGTTGTACGTATAACATGAACTTTTAAATTTAACTGACCCCTTAAATTGTATCCCCCATCCCTTTCATTAAATAGTTTTTGAATTCCACCAGGTAATAAATTGTTCCTGGCTTTATACATAAACACAGACGTCTTATCAGTCAGTTAAAGCAGCAACGTCTATAAAGCCAAAATCCCAAATACTATACAACGTAACAAGCACTTCCCTGCTGC